TTTATTAATTTACTCCTTAAGAATTGTTTTTGCAATTTTACAAATTTTGTTTATATTTTTAAGAACAATTTATTATTAGTGTAATGAAAATAAAAATAAAAATATAATTTAATTTGTTAATTGACAAATAATTTTTAATAATTATTTTAGTAATTTAAATAATCAATACATGAAAGAAAAATAATATCAAATGTTAAAAGTACGATGAATTAGACTAAATTTCACATTTTTTATAAATAAAATTTTTTTAAAAAAAAAAGAGAAGAAGAAGAGATATTGAAAAATTGAAGATTTCAATCAAAGAGAAAAAGTTAAAAAGGAAGAGAGAGAAATGGATTTGGCCCATTTTTCTGAAAATGAAACCCAATAATTCACTTGGCAAATTCTAAGAATAGCCTCATACAACTTGTGTCTGCCACATCATATTTATCGCTCATCCATTATAAAAAATTTCATATTCAATGTGGCCCAATTTTTCTCTTGAGGTTTGCAATAGTTGTAATTTGAAAGCAAATAGATTATTTTTTTAAAAAACTACACTAAATTCCTCACTATTTTGCTAAATTTAAGAGATATAATTTATTAAATATTTAGCAACTCATCCGAATAAGACCAATTGGCATAAGCCATAGACAGAGAGGATGAAAGAAAGATATAGGAATTTCCCCTGAAGCTATAAAGGGGCCTCTACTAGAAATCTTGCTTCTAGCTTTGGGCACCTCTGACATAAACAGAAATAGCGTATATACAAGACTAGCCCTTTCTCTCAATCGTCTTGGTATTGGATCCGCTCTTTTGTTAACATGAACAGATTCTATTCGAATTCTTTATTCTTAAGAGAATCCCCCACCCGAACCATTCTTAAGACCACCAAGCTCTCTCGAATGAATTCTACTCTTTCTGCTTTCGAGCTACACTTGGGGTAAAATCTTTTCCCACTAAGACATGGGGTGTGTTTAATATGGAGAAATTAAAAACACGTATATTTCTTATTTACTTTCACGTACAATTTCTTTTATAACAACTTGTATTATTATTACCAAACAAAGTGAAAATTAACATGAGGAGGATATATAATTTAAACTTTTCCTTTATGCAACCAATTTCATATTATTACAAAAAGTATATAATATTTTGTAGTTGATTGGAAGAAAATGATCTTGTGATTCTTTTGTTTCTAACAACAAGCGGCTTTACAAACATTACTAACGAAATCATCGTCATCATTATTGTTATTATTATTATTATTATTATTATTATTATTATTATTATTATTATTATTATTATTATTATTATTATTATTATTATTATTATTATTATTATTATTATTATTATTATTATTATTATTATTATTATTATTATTATTATTATTATTATTATTATTATTATTATTATTATTATTATTATTATTATTATTATTATTATTATTATTATTATTATTATTATTATTATTATTATTATTATTATTATTATTATTATTATTATTATTATTATTATTATTATTATTATTATTATTATTATTATTATTATTATTATTATTATTATTATTATTATTATTATTATTATTATTATTATTATTATTATTATTATTATTATTATTATTATTATTATTATTATTATTATTATTATTATTATTATTATTATTATTATTATTATTATTATTATTATTATTATTATTATTATTATTATTATTATTATTATTATTATTATTATTATTATTATTATTATTATTATTATTATTATTATTATTATTATTATTATTATTATTATTATTATTATTATTATTATTATTATTATTATTATTATTATTATTATTATTATTATTATTATTATTATTATTATTATTATTATTATTATTATTATTATTATTATTATTATTATTATTATTATTATTATTATTATTATTATTATTATTATTATTATTATTATTATTATTATTATTATTATTATTATTATTATTATTATTATTATTATTATTATTATTATTATTATTATTATTATTATTATTATTATTATTATTATTATTATTATTATTATTATTATTATTATTATTATTATTATTATTATTATTATTATTATTATTATTATTATTATTATTATTATTATTATTATTATTATTATTATTATTATTATTATTATTATTATTATTATTATTATCTTTGCTTGGGCAAGGGCAACGTGAACACGCTGCATCAAAAATCCATCCACCACCTTTTTTTTGGAGCGTTGGATTGTTCATTTCTGTATTCTGAATATCATTTGTTACACCAATATATACAACTCTTTTAGATCGATAACGAAATTATATGTTCAAAAATTAAATATAGCAAAACTACAATTAAAAAACAACTTACCCTCAAGCAATGGAAGTGAAGGCTCAACTATCTCCCTTGCAATAACTTCTGATGATATAATCATAAGAACCAAAGAAAATATAAGCAAAATATTTGCCATTTTATATGAGTTTGTTGATATTTAATTTGTGAATGATTTAAAAAAATAATATGCATTCCTCCTATTTATAGACTTTTTAAAAAAGATTGGCTTACCAAACTTTTTAAACAAAATAGTGAAACTACACACGATGAATTGCCCCATAACTTAGCTGCCAACTATTTAAATTTGTTTGTTTTTTTTAAAAATCCCTATTAAATGTACAATATTATATTATCATCTCTGTTAAATTGATGAACAAATGTCCATTAGTTTCTACTAATAAAATAATAACAATATAAAACCAATTAAGAATATTATTATTATTATACATGGTATTGACGAAAATGTTTTATAATTTTCTCATATGTTTTGGTTGGTCAAAATATTTTCTCGTGAAAACAAGTTTTTTTAAAATCAGATTAATGATTACTTTCCTAATGCATGTATAAAAATTAAGTTTCACAAGTGACATTTCAAGCTCATTATTTTTCTTTTCACGCCGCACCCAACCCTTCTTTTCATTAACTTTTGTTCAATATTTTGTGTTAAGAAATTGATTAAATATGTACACATTAAATTTAAAATTAAATTGATTATTAGAACTTGAAATTATAGTTCTTAAACTCATATATATATATATATATAATATATATATATATATAAAGTCATGAGAAAGCGGCCTCTTCTTTTACAAAAAAATATTTTCTTCCATATCAAACACACCCTAAGTTTCTTATTTTCTTCCATATAAAATATTTATTAACAAGTTATTTGTAATTATATAATAAGTGATTCGATTGTTCAAATATGTTTTACTTTATTTGCGCTTCTTTAAAATTAAAATTACTCATCTTTTCAGTGAGCCAGTGATATAAAAGACACTTTTACGTCATCAATGTATACACTTAAACTTATTTAATTAACAAACTAATTACAAAATTTCACATCAGTCTCCCAAACTTAGCATTTTATTCCGTATGTTTGGATAGGATGTGAGTGAATCAAAATACGCAAAGTTAATAAATAAGTGGGTCAATAATTTACACAAAAATTTCTTGAGCTAAAAAGCGGATCAAAACTCAATGTGTTCAATTGTTACTAAGTTTTAATTGCTTTATTTGTTCTTTTATAATCTTTTATTACCTAAAAGAATTATTATTATTCTTTATTATCACAATCTATAACATATTAAATTTTAATAATGGCTTTTTGAAAATATTTTGATATGATTTTTCATGGATCAATTTAGGTTAAATATTAATCCAAATTTTAATGAGCTAAGTTAGGTTTAAATGAATTGAGATAATAAATTGACAGATCAATAATCCAGTCAAATTTGAACTAGTTATAGCTTCATTGACTAATTTTGTCACCTCAATTTACATGTATATTTTAAATGAACAAAGTTGAGAAAAGGCCCAAAATAGTCCCTCATCTTTGGGTTAAGACTCAAAGTCAACCTTGAGTTTTCACATGGAGCATTAATAGTCCCTCATGTTTGCAATATTAGTGCACTTTTGGTCCTCCAAAATTTTGCCTATTTTTTAACATTGATTTTATTCATAATTTATGTATGGAATGTTTAATCGTCATTTTATATATTTAGTAGAAATAATAACTCCATGTGAGAGATTGTGAGAAGAAAAACACATTGTTTTGTTTAGTAGAATTCGTATTGCAGGTAAAGTCGAGAGGTTCATCACGACGATTTCATGTGTTATAGTACAAATTTTTCTTTTCTTGCAATGTCATATGATAAAATGTTCTTAGTTTAGCTGCAGTAATATTTATACTGAACAGAACAAGGTGTTCTTCTTCTCACCTTCTCTCACATAGAGTTATTATTTCTACTATTGAATCGACATAATTAACAACGATCATTAATAGAAAAATTGATTTGCTCGAGAATTTCATCAATTAGGATAGCTATATAATTTTCATAAGAAAGATTTGAAAAAAACTATGATAATATATGTCTAGGAAAAGATATTAATATTTCTACATATATGGTATATAATTTCTCCTTCAATTGAAAATATATAATCTTTGCCTCTTACCGTCACCATGAGTGGATATATATAGAAGGTCGATTACGAATTCACGTGAATTATGTTTGTATTACTCAGACCATTTATATTTATACTAAAAATATCTAGCTATAAATTTTAATTAATCGAAATTCAATATATTATTTAATTATAAACTTTGAAGTTTGAATTCGGATCGTCGCAACAAAAACATACTAAACAAAGTGAAAAAAAGTGAATTGAGGCTACATTTACCATATTCACATCTTACTTTATATATAACAAGTTTTTTTAAAAAAAAAAAAAAAAATAAGACCATGATCTTGCCTCACACGTACAAATTCTCATACAACAACTCGTATTATTATTACAAAAGTGAAATTAACATGAGGATATATAATACAAACTTTTCCTTTATTCAACCAATCTCATATTATTATTACATAAAGCATATAATATTGAGTAGTGGATCAGAAGAAAATGATATATCTTGTGATTCTTTTGTTTCTCTAACAACAAATGGCTTTACAAACATTACCGATGAAACTATCATCATCATCATCGTCATCGTCGTTATTATTATTATTATTATTATCATTTTTTTTTGGGCAACTGCAACCAAAACACGCTATATTAGGAAACAATGATCCCCCACCTTTCCCACCACCACCTTTTTTTTGGAGAGTCGGGTTGTTCAATTCAAATGTATTTTGAACTTCATTTGCTGCACCAAAATTCATGTGTACAAACAATTTTATCAGAGAACAGAAAAAATGAAATATGTTCAAAAATCAAAATATAGTAAATGCATAACCTTTTCTTAATTCTTCCATGTTAATTATAATATAATTATTAATTTTCTATTTTCTCTATATAGTCAAATACCACCTTTTCCATGTGGGATTTATGGTTGCTTAGACAAGGCAACTAATGCTACCATATAAGATTTCTTAATTTTACCATTAATTATATTTCGGACCTATTACGCTAGTAAATTCTCTCGTATTTTCTCTTAATTTTAAAATTTAAATAAGCTCCAATATACGTTGAGTTCCACATGTTAAAATACTTTGTAAAAAAGGTTCAAAATTACTCATTTGCTTTTAATTTATTTATAAGATTAAAGATAACATGAGACAATTTGCTAATAACAAGGATATAAAACAAAGGGTAAAACTAAGTTAGTTTTTACCATCTTTCATTATGCACTTAATTTAATTTGTCATATGAAAGTGTAATTAGTACTTAAAACTACAATTAAAACAACTTACCCTCAACCATTTCCCTTGCAATAACCTCTGATGATATAATCATAAGAACCAAAGAAAATATAAGCAAGATATTTGCCTTGAATGCCATTTTGTTTGAGTTTATTGATATTTAATTTGTTGATGATCAAATAAATAATATGCATTCCTCTCCTATTTATAGTGAAACAATACTTTAAAAAAGAATTGGCTTACCAAACTTTTTTTAAAATAGTGAAACTCCACATGATAAATTGCCCCATAACTTAGTTGCCAACTCTTTAAATTTGTTAATTAATCTTTTTTTTGTTTTCCCATTTTATGTGTTTTAATTGATGAACAAATGTCTATTAGTTTTTTTTTAAAAAAAATGTCTATTAGTTTCTAGTATTTTTGTAAACAGTGCAAATTTTATGTGTGAATTACGTTTTGTTTATATGTATGTTGTGCAATTTTTATGAGTAAATTTTCTTTAGCTCATCTTGGCAATATCATTGATGGGAGAATGTATATATGTTAAGTTGGAGGGGGTAAGAATGGTCGAATAATATAATTAACGTTTTTTGGATAGATCGTCTTAAGGTGACGAAGGCCCACATATTTTGAATCTTGGCTCTTATCAAGGAAAAAGCAGGATATTTAATCGAAAGGATAAACAAAGCCGAACATCTTCAAAGGTTGCTCCAGTCGCCTGAAGCCTTGTGGATTAATTGTAGTGGATTTAGGCGTGTCACGCCAACCAAATGATAAAGCTGAACAAAATAAAGTAGAGGGGGTATATTTGATCATTTTTGTGTATATACTAATTCTTTAAGGACTCAACTAAAAATAATTACACTGAGTTACACACATTAAGAAAATATTTTGGACTAATTTATTAAAAAAAATATTACATAAATGGAGGATTAAAAATATCGATTAAAATAAATACCGCATATTAATAATGGAGAGAAAAAGGTTATTATTCAAAATTAAGGGGGAGAACTTGATTTTTTAAAACAAAATTTTAGAGTGGGCTTGTAAATAATTTTCATCAATCCAAATAAGGGTTTAGGGCAAACACAAAGTAAAATTATAAAAAGGGACTTCCACACAAAGTATTAGCAATCGCCGTCAACAATTTTGCTCCACTATGTTCATCACCAATTCTTTTTATATATTTCTTATATTATAATTTTTTGGGTAGAAATATTGTTTAATTTTATGTTTATGATTTTATTTATTTTATTTTTTTGGGAAAGAATGATGAGATTTTTTGCATATGTGCAAACGCAGCATCCTCTCGATGCAGTGAGCGGCACTTTCCGCACGAGATTTCTGACTCTCCCTTTCCTTTTTTTTCCCTTCGGATTAATTGTTCGATTGGTAAAGATTTTTTTTTCTTCATTCTTGTAATTGAGTCGTTGCGATTAATTATCCAATTGGTAAAAATGATATCTCGTAGCTGAATTGGTTGCGATTATGGATTGGATATTTAATTGTCTAATTGGTAATAATGATATCTTATAGCTGAATTGGTGTGTTAAGACTACTTTACATCTCTCTTTTTTTTCTTTATCGATTGGACATATATAACATTTTACACATACATTTTACAATTCCAAGAGAAAAAAAATGTTTTATTTTCAGATTTGTTAGTATTTTCTTATTTATTTTTATTTTTTTTGACTTTTTCATGTGTACTTCGTGTATTTTGGCCAACTCCTCAATGGGTCTTCCACGGTGGCCATGTTCTAACAATTTTATTTTAGAGAACTTTCGTAAATAGTCACTATAATAAACTTAATTATGTTCCATAGTTATAGTTTACATATTTACGGATTGTGCCTACCGTTTAAGTTGCTCGTTTGTATAATTTGCGGATTTGTATATTTGCGGGTATATTTGTATAATTCAGTTATTTTGTATAAACTCGAAATAACAAATTTATATAATTACAAACATCAGAAGTGTAAACAGTTATACAAATTATATTATACAAATTTCAAATTATACAAAACTAAAAAGTTGAGCCGCGTAACTATAGCTAAAAGTAGATCGCGAATTGTAATTAAGACAAACTATAGCTATGTTAACTAATTAACTAGTATATATTTGTTTATACGCGTAATTTTCCCTATTTATAATACAATAAATTAGGTTGACTAGTTGAAAATTTATTTAATTAATTGAATGATAAATATTCAAGAAACTCAGAAAAGATATTTCATCCATATAAAACTATGGTACAGATACTCCCTCCGTCCCTTTTTAGTAGACGATAGGAACCTTGACTAACATTTATGTAAATGTTTAATTTAAAATATTAAATTAATGTAATTTAATTTAAGTTTGAAAATTAATCAAATTGACTTTGTCTAAAGAGAAACAGATGGAGTAGTTATTTAAATTTTGAAATTGGACCCAACTCCTAAGTCATATCTTGCAAATTCTCGTGGATCACAAAAATGTAAAACGAATTGTGTTGTAACTTTGAAATAAATTATACACAATAGTTTTTTGTTGAATTAGCAAAAGGACTTTTGCCTTTTGCCACAAGTTATGGCGATCACTAAAACTTTTGTATAAATTGCGTCATAAATCCTTCCCGATCACAACCTTGTGAAATTACACTAGGTATGTTATTGTATACCAAATACCGTAATACCGAAATGACAGAATTAAAAATTTCAGTTTCAGTATGATAACTTGACCCTAATTAGAGCATAAGCATAATTGAATAGTGCAAAAAACATAACACTTTTGAATCTGTTTTTAAACAGATCCAGAAACTGTCTTTGCAAGACATCCAAGAATCACATTGAACTACATATGCCATTACTAATACCATAGTTCATAAACAAACAGATTTTACGCAACAATCGATACGTTTTCCCCAGTTCACACCATCAACTACAAGATACAGAACGAAACATCAGAATCCAATAACACTTCCTTTCAGATGGCAACCGCGGTACACGAGTAATGGCAAAATAAACATTTTTCAGTGTGAAATCCCTTATTGAAAAGGGGATATAACTTATGACAAATAATCTTATGTTCTATTGGGATTGCACATATTGAAACTCCACAGGATACAAGCCACAAATCCCAAAAACGTATCAAAAAAGAATCAAGAAACACTTTGCAAAACGAATATCAATGTGTCTGCTGCTGCTGCTACCTGCATTTTAATCTATACAAAACCATCACGAGCTCTTCCTCATATTTCATTGATGATCAAACAACAGTGTTAGGGGATTGAAGTTCTCCCCACGATATGAACTTTCCGTTCTCATATACACTAGAGCCATTTATGTGTCTCTATTTTGCTTGTTCTTAGTTGCAGTCCAACCCACATACTTCTAACGAGAGTCCACCTCTTGACAAGAATGGGTTGATTCGGACCCACAATAACGAAAGGATAGAAGCTAGAAGGATAGACCACACAATAATGATAGTGGGAACGTTGCTTTGTTTCCCCATCATACCTTTGAGGAAGGGGTACAAATGAACAATGACCCATAAGGCAAAGAAAAGCTTTCCAAATAAAGGACCCCATGACTCATACCCGTTATTGATTGCATCTGAAACTCCAACGACAACTCCTATGATGTTCATAATCAACAAGGTCAATGGGGGGATCAACAAGGATGTCCACTTGAAGACGTAAAGCTCAGAAAACTCCCCATCATCTGCTGCTTTTGATGTGACGGTAAAACTTGTGTTGACACCAGCCAAAACTTTAAGAAGACCTTGGAGAAGAGCAAAGAAGTGGGATGAAACACCACCAATAACCCAAAATTGCTCATTTCTCCACATGTCGTCGATGCCAACACCTCCCCATCGTATCTCCAGAATAGTAGTGGCAGCAATTGATATAAAAAGGGCCATGAACACAATGCTAGCATAGTTGGTAAGCTGCAGACAGTAAAAAAATAGTCAGCAAAAGTCCACAAGATGAGTTGAATAAAAGGTTATGATGTTTTGTTTATGATCAAAGAAGTTAATAACAGGAACGGATAAAGGGGAAGCCTTACCTCTGGAACAATGAAATTCCCAGTAAGCAAACAGATGGCTGGCAATGTACAATATGCAATCAGAGGGAGGGCAGTCAATGGATAGACAATTGAGTTTATGTACGAAAACCGCTCCAATGGTTTAAGACCACACCCATATCCATACCAAATGGGACAATGTTTACTAAAGAAAATCTCAACAGATCCCAAGGCCCACCGCAGAACCTGATGCAAACGATCTGAAAGATTGATAGGAGCGGACCCTTTGAATGCAGGCCTTTTGGGCATACAATACACAGACCTCCAACCATGGCAGTGCATCTTGAACCCAGTTAAGATATCTTCAGTAACTGATCCATAAATCCATCCAACCTGGTAAAAGTAAAACATGAAAAGTGAGCCCAAACAGAAAATGCAAACAAATCTAAAAAGGTTAGAAATTAAGCAGTCCGTTTACCTCTTTACCCCATTCTGTTTTGTCTTCATAACCACAACTAATAACATGGATGGCTTCTTTCAGGAGAGATGCTGACGATGCTCCTGGAGGAACACCACCATCTTCTAGTAGTGTTGAAGCAACAAATACTGGTGATTGTCCAAATTTCTTCTCGAGTTTTATTTGCGGCATGAGGGATGCTTTTTCACTATCAATTCCTGTATCACATAGCTGGTTAGCAAAAGATACACAAACATATATCTCAAAAAGCTCTTGCATGAACAAGGGAATTAACATACTGTAGAAGTAAGCAAAGAGGAAGTTATTTTGTAATGATAATAATTACTACCACATATGCAAGTAGAAAATTAATCCAAAATCAACTATCAAAGTTCCTCTTTCTTACCTTCGATTCCTTCCTCGATATTCTCAAGAGCATGAACCTGAGTTGAAGCATCCTTTCCTTTTATCTTCTTTTTATCCTTGGTCGTTTTCCCCTTCTTATGCTTCTTTCGAGATTTACAAAAAAAGCAACACCAGTTCGGCCAACAATTGCATGTTTTTCCTGGAGGTTTTGCCTTCTTTGGAGCATCATATCCATAAAGTGCTTGCCTCCTGAAGACACATCCAGTTCCCACATAAATTGGACCCTGGATCCCATCAAGTCCTTTCATGTTTATCTGT